TTTTATAAATATTACAAAGTATTGCATACAATACATGAAAACTTATTGTATAATACGAATATGCAATGTACATTCTTTATCGCCAAAGAAATGTATAGCTTCCTAGACAGTATTAGAATTCAACCCTGCAACTTTACTATAACATATTTTCATTGTTTATATTAGCAATGGGACATTTATGGCAATTTTATTGCCCTTTAGATAAATTTACTATTTTTTCGTGACTGTCAGTGTAGTCTCAATACACACATAACTTCAAAATCCTAAACAAATAGGTTAGTTTATTTCTGACATATTTTAATTAACTTGAGTAAAAATTAACCATAACGTTCCTGCCACATTTTCGTATTAAGGATATTGTATTTTTCATTATTTCCAGACTTATTGTGTATTAGTGTCGAATTCGTGTTTAGTAATGGCCGCGAAAATTGCGTAAAGTGTAAGCTATGAACACATTTGTCGTAGACAAAACAGAGGGAGTGGTGGGACGGACCCATCAATCGAAATCCCGTCATTGGATGTCGGCGCAGTATAATATTCTTCAGAATTGTCGTGTTAAGCCTTTAATGATTTACAGAAACTCTCTAATTTCCAATCTACAAACAAAAACCTATCGTTATTATTCCTGTAGTTACTACCACTAACGGTAGACCGTCGGCTCTTGGTTTTCAGCATCCTGAGTGTCTAAACGTGTTCGGAATTCCGTTTACACCGCTATGAGCGCGGGTGGCCATGCACACCGCTCGGAACAGGAGGAGCAGTCACACGCCCGAGGAGGTAGGGATACGATTTGTTCAAACCGGACAAGTTAAGTGTCATGCATTATTAATATGTAGGGGTCCCTTCTTGTATTGGAAACCCAATCTGATGTATCCGAATGAAATGCGCCTGTTTCATCAGGCAGATGACATATAGAAAGCCTCTTAAAATCGGGGCACTTATTTTTTATTAAAAATATTTGTCCAGTCTTGGAAAATGAGGTCGGAGTCCTTTTTATATTTCCAAACCATGTACTTATATTTTCACATAGTAAATAATGATGCTGATTTTAAAATTTGTACCAGAGTTTAAACTTCAATGGAAACTAACATATCAGCGTATTACCAGCTAATATGACCCACAAAATAGGAAGGCAAGATTTAAAATATTGAATAATTAAAATTAGGAACAAGTTCTTTTAATACATGAAATATTTTAATGGTTATCGTATCTTGTAGCACCCATCCATAGTGTCTGAAAGGGGGGGGGGGCACTCATGTTTATGAAGTCATCCACAGCCCGTCCTCCTTTACCCTCGTTGCTAGTTTGGTGCGGAGAGGGCGTGTCTTTATGTGGTTAAGGGTTATGCCCGCTGACCGTCAGGATACGAACACCTAAAGAACATGAATCCTGAAGAAAAGCAGCAGCCGCTTGGTTTTATGGAAGATTGATTTTCCCACTGAGCTGAGGCCACAGAAGTTCGTGTTTGCCTGGGAGGGTAAAACTGCCCACACCAGGCAGGTGTCGTCTCCTTGAGATCTCGAGCTATGCAAGGATGAATCGGTCTCCCACTCTCGCCAATCGAGCCGGGCAGCGGTGGCAGGCATGGGTCGCGCAGTTCGGCGCGGCACGTCAGTCGCGAAGCCTATTGTTCGGCGACGCGGGTGAGGCCCTAGATGTGATAAGAATGCATTGGCAGCGTCGGCATGACGCCGGACCGGTTGGCTGCCTGCGGTCGGTCTGGCTGGCTGGCAGCCGCTCCGCTTCTTGGGCCGTTCGCCCAATTGTCTCCATAGCACGACTGCTGCTCAACGCGGACTACACGTTGTTACCCCAACCGGTGAATGAAGCAGTTATGATCGGAGCTCAAATGCTTCAGTTCACACAGAATATGCGCGCAGGACGATACGCGGAATCCTCAAAATAGATACTAGAATACAGATAAGGCATATTTACACGAAGATTTTGTTTATACTGTGTTTGTCAACTATTTCAATATATTATACATGCATGTATGTTATTAACGATTATTGAGTCGGAAAACGCTACGTTCTCTTACAAGGACTTTAGATACATAATCCGAAAGAGAAAATAATTCAAAACTTTCTACGAAATTAATTCTCAGCAAATAACAGCCCTGATAGGGTCTCGGAAGCGTCGATGCGAGATGCCAGGCCGCTAGGCCAAGCATTCGACGCGTCGCCCGAGAGGCGCTGAGGGGCGTCGGAGAAGTCGCGTGGCCCGCGCACGGGCGCTTGGGCGCCTAATTTTAAATCGTGGTCGGAGGGCGGTGCGGCGGTGGCGGCGAGCGCGTAAAGCTGGATGTCGCCAGCAATTCGCTCCTCGCTCGCAAAGAGGTGAACGCCCGCGCGGCCGAGGGCGAGTCGCCCGCGGCGCCCGCTGGCTGGGGCGGCTCCGTGGAATGGGCGAGGGGGGGGGAGGGGAGTGATGGCGGCGACCGCCTCCTACTACCGACGCACCGGCGCGGCGCGCACACGGCCAATGCGCCGTCGCAGCCGCGGCCGTTTCTCTACGCGTGCTGCGACTCCCGACGGACGACTAACTAACCTCTCGCCACACGAATAGCCTCCGCACCGTCAGGGACTGCACACTCTATGGGCAATGCAAAGCCCAATGCT